TTGCCACATCAGTGAAATAAATTACTGTACGCGTGAGAAACTGACAGTTGGAGAAAATTAGAAGGAGTAGCAATTTTTTGACATTATGCTTCTTTAAGAGGTCAATAATCTGACTGTTGAGGACGGTACGCAATCTTTATTTGGGGTAATGTGCAGAGAAACGTTCACTGATTAGATTAATCCTGGAAAATCTTTATCAGATGAACCATGTATCAGGATCGTCTCTAAATCACTTACAGTCAAAAGGCTGAATTAAAAACACCAGCTTGCATTTAAATTAAGTTTCCCTCTCATATTACCATAAACAGTCGTTGTGGAAATGTTAAAGCTTTTGCAGGAAAGTATTTTTTGGGGGACGGCTGCTTCTGAATTGAATCTATTTTGAGCGGGGAGGGGGGTATATTTAATCGGAATTCAAGATCTTTCCGTCTTGGAAAATTAACCTTAGACATACATTGCTGGAATTAAACTGATCTTTACGGTAACATCAAAAATTTGCGTTGCTCCTCTCTGACCAAGTCGGGTAGGACACTACAATTATTCGCTATACGACGAGTTTAAGGTCTACGGCGATTCGGGGTGAAAGTGTGTTCAATTCCCATTTCAGCCTCTTTACAAATCAGCATTTTAGAAACGGCATCTGTTTCTCGCCTGTTCGTATTGGGATGAAGGTAACAGAAAGGAAAGGGGTGCAGTTGCGTTGAGATAGAAGGAAACTGGTTGTTGAGCTTGAAATGATAAGCAGATGGAGTTTCAGAATTACTGGCCCCTGTGGAAATGAACAACTGAAGCACTGTACAAGTGCATTTGCTGACCATTTTGCCCAGCTACAGCTCAAGCCATTATTATGATGCGGCAAATCAACGCCAGAACTGAACCCTAACTTTCACTCAACGCTTTACCGTGAAAAGATCGAAATCTCATTTATAGACAGACTGCAAATACATCTCGCAGTTATCCAATTTTTTTGTGTTTTGGTAGATGTATGGACGAACAAAAGTATGATTACAACTAGTATATTCATTCATACTTTCAAACTGAATGGGCAGAAACAATTTGATTAGGTTAGATTTGCCCAGAAGGAATTGATCGATAGTTGGAATGTAATCATTGTTAGCTAACCCACAAATACTCTGGACATTCAAATGACAATTATCCTAAATGAAAGTTATTATTTCGTTAATCCCAGCGAACAGCTTGTAGAGAGAGATTTGGATGTTTCTTTTTAATAATGGAAGGTCGTTGCGCTCTCCTCTTATGGTAATCTTTATCTCAGGGACCTTCTCCTTAATCTGACTGTTTAGCAGCAGTGCGCCAAATCAAAGGAGATCCGCTCGCAACAGTTCGCTTAAGCTGTTTGTAAATCCGCTTGGTCAGCTGAACGACCCAAACTGTCCGAACTGGAGCACCAGGAAGCAGTCCTGGGTGAAACAGCGCTCCCCGCTTTGCTATCGGCAGAAGACAAATTCCACTTGGGACCAAGAGCAAGCTATTCAACACCCTGGCCTCCTCCATCATAAAGTTCAGTCACCGCTGATTTTTCTTGCCCTTCCTAAACAAAAAACTCTTCCCAAGTTCTCGTTAGACTTATTGAGTATCTCTAGCAATTTCTGATTTGATTTTGTTCTCCCTTTGAGTTTCCGTGCCTTGATTCACTCCCATACCACTAACAAAAATAAACGATTCTCAGTTATGTACAGGACAGTGCAAGGTGAGCGAATTCCTGGGGTCTCAGGAGTGAACATCAAAGGATGTTCAATACTGACGGCTAAAGTGATGTATAAAATCTAACCGTAACTATGAGACCACTCTTGGTCTTTGCATTGTCCAGATTACTCTGAATATTTCGTTCACTACAACCTTCTGATGGAAGGTCATCAATCTGAAGCATTGACCATTCTCTCTCCACAGATGCTGCGCGACCTGCTCAGCTGGGGTCTGATCCCAGAATTTCAGCGGCTGCAGTATTTATTTTCTCCGGGAAATAAAAATAAACTCTGCTTTCCCTCCCCAAATGCTGCCGAGGTTCTCCAGCAATTTCTGCTTCTGTTTAAACTTTTCTCACCCCAGTGCTCGTTTCCAGACTTTCCCAGATTTATTCTCTCGTGAAAGTGATTTACCTTTTTTGCAAAATTTTCGGGGCATCGCTGGAACGCGGTTTCGGGAGGTATTTAAATACTAAAGTCGTCTCCTTTAGGTGTTCGAGGTAGCGGCTCCCTGGAATGTAAAAATGAAAGGGAGTCCTTTGGATGGCGATAGTAAACACCTCAGAAGGCTGCAGTTCACTCTGGAGTTTTGTAAATGAGACGGCATGAGGCCATTATTCCCAGTTCCTGACTGAAGTGAGTTAAGAACACTTGATACAAAGTAATCTCAAAAGTATCTGCGTAAAGATTATTTGAAATATTTGAAGTTGCTATACAGTCTAATAATAAGTAGAAAGTATAAATGCTGGGGCTGGGGGGTGTGTTTAAATGAATGTTCTCTTCCCTCTACACCACCCCCCACCCCCACTGCCGTTAAGCCTTTACTGTGCTGACCTGTCACAGATCTATAAGGGGGGCATTCAATGTTGTTTGTAATGTCCTTTGACATGGAAATAGTTATTTTATCCTGATGACTGGGGGAGCCGTTATTCCGAACTATGCAAACAGACATGTTCCCATTTATCGGCGTAAAATCTCCGTTACAGATCGACAAAAGAGGCAATGGACCGTGAGGACTCAAAGTGGGTTAGTTACAGAGACAATTCCACCCCCGAGTTAACCGGCTCTAGCTTCTGTCTCTTCAGTGTACACTGTTGTACAAGGACAAGAAAGATACTTTTTTTTTTCACATTTGCAGTGATTCCGTGATTGGCCCCGAGGGTTCAATTATTCTGCAAATTACCATCCCGTAAAAGATTTCAATCATACCAGATCTGAAATAGAAAAGGAAAGATGTTTCGTTCGGGTCGTGGCGGAGTTTAGCAGTTCTCCCTCCTTCTAACAGGCTCCCCGCTCAAAGCACTTGTCAGAGGAAATAGAGAATACGGCTGGTGTTTGAGGCAGTTCTGAGGAAGGCTCACTGGACTTGAAACATAAACTCTAATTTCTCTCCACAGATGCTGCCAGACCTGCTGAGCTTTTCCAGCAATTTCTGTTTTATGTGTGTATTTGAAATGAAGAATAGCGCTGTTGTGTTTCAATAAATACATGGCAATATCTAATTCACTGATCCTTTCCAGGCTTGGTCATTTTTATTGCGGAATAGAAGTATTTGAAGCTACAATTTAAACGGATTTCGTTCGACCAGAGGCAGTAAACCACAATATTTGTGAAAGTCCAAGAGTGTTCGTCTATCAGGTTAGAACAGTTCCCTATACACCACTATTTTAGAATTCTAAATCAAGTTTATTTAAAACGCAAACAAAAGGCCTCTGATTTAATAAACTTCATTGAATTCGTTGGAGCGGAATTTCTGATGAGACCAAGTACAATGGGAGGAAAGTGGTAAGTATCCCTCCTGGATCCTGGTCCCCGGTAGGAACTCAAATATTTAAAACAGATAGTCCCACCAAATTTAATTTACTCCCAGCCCCTCATTTTCATTCATCGAAAAATTAAGCAAAACCCGTTCAATAAAATATAAAATGGAGTAACAAACTAATAAAACAGAAAGGATAATTAGATCCAGTTTAAAAAAAACACACAAAAAGTATTACAATTGTGCTGATGCACCCAGGAGTGGAACATGCTGCATGGAGACAAGTTACATATTATTGAAATGTTTGGAAAGTGTGTAATATGCTTTATACGTTTTGCAAATAATGTACAGTTGAAATGTAAGTAAACATTTACATGAAAACCTGAAGTATTTTGCTCACACCCTCTCTCCCATGCTGTAAATCTAACATAAATTAGATATTGTGAATTTCACCAGTTTGGCTGAGCCCCTCAGAGTAGAAAATGCAAAGTGGAGAAAAGTTAAGCTCTCTGTGATATTCTGTTTGAAATGTACTTCAACAAATGTGATGCATGAAGTGTACTTCTGAATTTAAAAAGTGCGAATACTACCTGCATTTAGTTAAGAAGGAAAGATGTTGTTAAACTTGAAAGGGTTCAGAAAAGATTTACAAATAAGTGGCCCGGGTTGGAGGGTTTGAGCTATAGGGAGAGGCTGAACAGGTTGGGGCTATTTTGCCTGGAGCATCGGAGGCTGAGGCGTCACCTTATAGAGGTTTATAAAATCATGAGGGACATGGATAGGTGAATAGCCAAGGTCTTTCCCCCGAGGGTAGGGGAGTCCAAAACTAGAGGCCATAGTTTTAAGGAGAGCGGCGAAAGAGTTAAAAGGAACCTGAGGGGCAACATTTTCACACAGAAGGTGGTGCGTGTATGGAATGAACTGCCAGAGGAAGTGGTGGAGGCTGGTACAATTATAACAGTTAAAAGGCATCCGAATATGTATGTGTATAGGAAGAGTTTAGAGGGGTGTGAGCCAAATGCTAGCAAATGGAACTAGATTAATTTAGAATATCTGATTGGCATGGACGAGTTGGACCGAAAGGTCTGTTTCCGTGTTCTATGACTTTAGGAAAGGCTTTACCTCTGGAATAAATGTAAAAACGATCTGGGCAACTTTACTGGGCTGGATACTAGACTTGTATCTGATGAGAATCTATATCCGATTGGTGTGTGTGTCTGGGGAGGGAGGGGAGTAAAGTCTTAGCTATGGAGTGGGGGGGGGGGGGGGGGGGGGGGGGGCGGGGGGGGGGGGGGGGGGGGGTGGGGGGGGGGGGGGGGGGGGGGGGGGGGGTGGGGGGGGGGGGGTGGGGGGCGGGGGGTGGGGGGGGGGGGGTGGGAAGGCTGTCTTCTCGCTGATTGGATCTGGGAAGCGTCCTGCCGGGCGAAGGGCAGATAGAAAAACCCTGTCTGTTCACAGCGGGATGGTTAAAGTGGGAGGGGGAGCTGGGAGAGAGTGAGAGTCAGAGAGAGAGGAAGGAAGGAAACCTCAGGGCCATGCCCGGGACAGAGGGGAGCTCGGAGGCTGTCTGCAGGTCCCTTGCAGCCAGTTTGCTGGCTGGGAGCAAAGAACCCGAGAAGAGCAGCCGCTGCCGGGGTTTTGCCATCACGGAGCTGCTGGGACTGGACAGCAGTAGCAGTAGCGAGACCGGCCACTCGGGGGCACCGTCAGCCCAACCTCCTCCTCCCCCTCCTCCTCCACTTGCCCCCCAGCCGCCGAGGGAACCGCCACCGATGCTCACCGCCGGCCTGGGGCTGCTGTGCAGCCGCTCGCTCAGCGCTTTCCGGCCGCCCGGAGCCTCTCTCCTGGACGCGCTATCAGCCCTGCCCGGTCGCATGCCTCTACTCCGGGGGGTCGCCCTGTTGGACAGCTACCAGCCGCTCCACAACTCCGGTAAAAGCCAGCTACAGTATGTCACCGAGCTGACACCGCACCCAGTCCTCACCCCACACCCTCCTTCTGTTTCCCCATCTCTGTAAGGATGCAAGTCCCCCCGCCCCCCTTCCCCGTCCCTTAACTTCCCGGGAACTCAAGGCCAGCATCCCTCAAACAGTTAACCCAGCCTCGTTGTTGTTGATAGTGGGATCTTGCTGTGCGTAAGTTGGGTGCCCAGCATTACTAAAACAGTTAACCCAGCCTCTTGTCTCGTTGTTGTTGATTGTGGGATCTTGCTGTGCGTAAGTTGGGTGCCCAGCATTACTAAAACAGTTAACCCAGCCTCTTGTCTCCTTGGTGTTGTTTGTTGGATCTTGCTGTGCGTTGGTTGGATGCCCAGCATTACTAAAACAGTTAACTCAGCCTCTTGTCTCGTTGTTGTTGATTGTGGGATCTTGCTGTGCGTAAGTTGTGTGCCCAGCATTACTAAAACAGTTAACCCAGCCTCTTGTCTCCTTGGTGTTGTTGTGGGATCTTGCTGTGCGCAGGTTGGATGCCCTTTTCAAACGGTGACCGTGTTTGGAATGTAGTTTACTGTTTGTTTTGGAACATCCTGGGGTCAGTGAAAGCTGTCGCATGTTTTTGGTTTCAGTTAAGTGTCTGTTGCCTTTGAAGCTTCTTTTTTCATATCGAAGTGGATCCCTGCAATTCTCTTAGTTTTAAGAAAAACGGGGAAACATTGTAAACAAAGCCTGAAGCCAAGCTGGTCTGACAAGATCAATGGTTCCTGACATAAACTCTCTCCTGGGCTTTGGGTCTCCAACACTGGCGGGTTTGGTGAGGTCTCCGCAGATTGGCACAGCGTCCTCTCACTGAGTTGTCCTGAGTTATTCTGCTCTCTTTCGTTACAGGCCTCATCTATTTCTCCGTTTCATGGGGAGAATCCTGCAACTTTGCAGTTGGCAACTAGTGAGGTAATCCTCAGGTTGGCATTGCAACAGTCAGCTTACTGTTTCCAACAAATGTTGGACTTTATTATAGCATGAATCAAAAGCGAATCGGTGGAGCAGGCGGTTCTGGGGATCAAACTGACCTTGAAGGGCTGGAGAAACTAGACTAGAGCGGTGATGGTTAATATAGATTAAGGTTGGTTTAGAGGCATCTGCATTGTATGGTTGTTTCTGCTCATTGCATTTAGATAAATATCCCTTGGCACGGGCCCCACGGTCTACCTTTAACTTTTTTTATTTTGAATTCTCTATATTACTTTTTCTACTTAATTGTAGATTTATAATTTCAAATTATTCGTTGACAACGAACCATTTAAAATTGAACTTAAATGCAACATGTGGTTTCAAAAAATTGAAAAGGATACATAATGGAGGTGGGGAGTTTCGTATCTGTGAAGGAAGTGGGAACTGTTTGAACAGCGAGTACCCCGCGGTTTATTTGAGGAGCGCTGGGGATTAGTTACATTGCCGCCCGTTTGTACATCACCTGCTGCTGACTGCAGTCTGCACAAGGACCCAGTGTCCCTTCCCTGGGCGACTTGCCATTGAAACAGTGCAGCCCACAGCAGCAAGCAATTGGCTCGTTGTGTTTTTTTTAGACCTGGCCGTGAAAGTTGGCTACCTTGTGAACTTTTATTCTCAACAGTAACAAAAAAAGTTCCAAGTCGACATGATTCGCTTGATTTAAAAAAGGCATGCCGACTATGTAACTTATTGATGGAAAAATGTTGATATTTAAAATCCTTTATTCTTTTTCATTTTCGGGATGTAGGCAAGGTATTTACTATCCATCCCCAGCTGCGCCAGGTCATCTCAGAGAGCAATCACGTTGGTGTGGAACTGACTTATATGGGATCAGACGGGTAAAACCAGAAGGCTTCCCTCCCTAAAGTACATAACTGGCTGGGTTCTTCAACAACATCATCACTTTCACTGATCAGCATTTTCTTTTCAAATGCAAATCCTCAGACTGCCAGGACAAGGATCAATGATCTTTAGATTATTAATACAGTAAGATGGAAATCCTGTGGTGCAATGGGTAGTGTCCCTTCCTCTGAGCCAGAAATGCCCAGTTCAAATCCTTCTCCAGGATAAGGAAGGCATATTCGCAATTTGTGCCTGAAAATCCCTCCAGCACACTGTGGAGAGATTTCTGCTAACTCATGCCTAATGCAAAGTGGTGCCCCTCAGTTTTAATGGTCTCAGCTAGTGACCCGTTCCAGAAACAGATGTAAGTTCGTTCTTGATCTACCTTGTGTGACTCCACACGTGGGAAGTGTTCTAAATCTGATCCAATAACATATTCTTTTGTTAAACCACCCTATTCTGCTAAATTAGGTTTGATCATGAGGAGACTTAGAGCTCCAACATCAGGGATGTTCTTTTCATGTTGGCTGATTTGGGTTTGGTGGCTATAACAGTGACTGTGGTCTAATCTGTTCCCTGGCACCAGATGATGAGAACACATTATGTGATCGCAGTGACTTGAAGAATTCAGCAGCATCGCAGGTGAAAAGAAAGAAGAGGCGGCACAGGTATGTGTGGGGTCTGTTAAAAAAAAACATCCTGAGTGAATGGAGATTGTGATGAGGTGCACCCTGGAAGGGCATTGCATTAGCACCTTTCACATTTATGTTTTGCCGGCACCTGGGGTGAAGGGGCTACCACAGGCATGTTGCACCAAATGGGCCCCTTGTGTGGTATATAATTGTCTAATTGAAGCATCCCAGTTCTGAGTTAATGATGAGATCAGAACAGCACATTTCAATGCATTTCAGATTACAGTCCTTGAAAATCACTCAGATTGGTACAGTTAGATTCAGTGCCCATTTTCTGATTGCTGCCCAGTAAAGGATCAATGACCAGGGAGCACTGATTTAAGGTAAGGGGCAGGAGATTGAGAAGAGGTGTGGGGAAAATTTCTTTCACCCAGGGAGTGGTGACAATCTAGAATTCAATGAATATTTATGAAGTGTAGGCAGAAACCTTCATAACATTTAAGAAGTGTTTAGATGTACACTTATGATGCCAAAGGATACAAGGCTATGGGCTAAGTGCTGGAAAATGAAATTAGAATAGTTAGATTTTTGACTGGTGCCAACTAAATGGACCAAAGAACCTGTTTCCGTGCTGTAGACTTCTAAAACTCAGTGAACAGAATCACAGAATGTGATCTCAAACACAATTTAACCTTATTTAAACACCATAAAGCAGTGACTCTGCACACTGGCTGTGGTCAATGATTAGGTGTACTGGCATCCATGCATGCCAGGACAGCTGATTTAACTTGCGACCCATAACTGGTCAACACCAAGTACCAGGTGTGAACCTGCCCACCTGCACAAGATACCAAAGCATTTGAATTGTTTTAATTTGTTGATAAATTACAATGAACTTGTTGCTGCTGTGTGCAGTCTTTTAGGTTTAGACTGTTAGAAATGGGTTAATGTCAACACAGGTCACTTCTTTTTCAATCCCAATAAAAAGGGTTGTGGGTTAAAATGTTTGAAATCTCAGAAGATTGCTTTAATATATATACTGAGGCGACTTGGAATAGGCAGTATGAAACAGATCTGCATTCTCTAGAGTTTCATGGAATGAGAGGTGATCTCATTGAAGCTTATAAAATTCTTAGAGAACGTGACAGGGTGGATTAGATAAAATGTTTCCCTGGCTGCTGACTCTGGGACTGTCTTTGATCACAGAGTATATCCAAATGGTTCTTTTGGATTCGGTTAAATGTAGTTAAAAGACTCAACAACATAAATTTACTTAAATATGAACATTTATTAAGTAAACAAAAAAGAATGAAAAAAACCTGAATATTTATTAAGTAAATAAAAAGAATAGAAAGACAGTTTAAAAAAAAAGCCTCATGCCCTTCTGCCCGTCGGGGACCCCTCGATTGATCACTGGTCTGGAGGCTTAGGTTCCTGACACCGTTCACACTCCTGGTCTGACGTGAGGTCCAATGACTTGGAACAAAACTCTCTCTTATACAGTGTAACAAACAGCAAGTAAAGAAAAACAAATACAGAAATACACATTGATTGTGCTGTCTTTGGCACATAACAGGAATGTTCAGAGGACTCATTGAAGGTTATGCAGCTATCGAATTTCATCGACAATTTTAGCTCTTTAGCCAATCCTATATAGGGACATGGTCTCATCATAACGGGAAGGCCATTTATAATTGACATCAGGAGGAATTTCTACATCAAGACGTTGCTCAATCTTTGGAATTCCCTAGCCCAGAGGGCCTTAAAAAATAAACCATTGAGCAGTTTCAAGACAAAACTTGATGGGTTTCTGGAGACTATGATATTAAGGGATACGGAGATAGTGCAGGAGGAAGTGGCATTGAGGAGATGATCAGCCATAATCTACAATAGTGAGATAGGCATGATGGGCTGAATGGCTTATTCTTGTTCCCATGTTCTTGTGAGTTTTTAAAAGGAATTGTTGTTTTGGGGAATGTTGCCATTTTGATCATGTGATTATGTAGCAAGCAAAATAAAAAGGCTGTCGCAAAGTAATACGTCTTCTTTTACAGGAGTCATCATTAGAATCATAGGCTAACATGCTGATGTTTAATGAATAGGACAAGTCCAAGTAGCATAAAGACAAAACAATGTCATATTGATGCTGTTTAACAACTATATGACGTAATTTACATCCCATTCCCTGACATTTGAACTGTGTTTGGATTTTTGTGAACTGACTTTTCACAGTGATTTAATTGGGTGAAACTGGTCTTGGAAGACAGCATAAAACAACTGATGACAAATTTGCAACACATTTTACTCAGCACTTGATATTCTTTCATTGTTGATTTCAATGGATCAAGTAGCAACGAGAGTGGGCAGTCCACTATCATGTTTTGACCCAAGGCCAATTTTATTCTTAGACCAATGTTCTTTGGAAGTGTTGTGCTGTAGAATCCGTGCATGAATGTGTATTTTTATTGATTAAGAGTATCAATTGATTATGAAGCAAATTCAAGGAATGAATTTGAGACGCAGATCAGTTATAATCTAGTTAAATGGTGGAGTACACTTGTATACCTAATGGCCTATTCCTGTTTTTAATGTCTCTAAACTACAATAGTGATGGTGCTTTAAAATTAGTTAATTAGCCTTAAAGTGTTATGGAAAATTCTGAGGTTTTGAAAGGTGCTGTATAGGCAAGATTACTTTCTTTCTTTGTTGCTTGTGAGCAATATGTCTGCTCTTTGATTGCCACAGAACTGTGTTCACAACTCATCAGTTGGAGGAACTGGAGAAATCTTTCAATGAGGCTCATTACCCAGATGTATATGCAAGAGAAATGTTAGCAATGAAGACAGAGCTCGCTGAAGACCGAATACAGGTAATTTGACAGGCCATCATGTACCATTCTGAAGGGAAGTTACTGGGACTTCCCATGTTCATGTAAAATCTCAGTTATGATCTAATTTGGTGCAACTATTTCATGCTAATTACTTGAGGTCAAAAATGTAAATTAAAATGATAATGCAAAATTTTATTCCTCAATAATGAGCCTGTTAGCTGTGTTTCATGGCTTTCATTTTGTCTCATTTGATAGTACTTCCACATCTCCCTGAGTCTGAAAGTTGTAAGTTCAAGTCATACTGCATAGACTTGAAGACAAAATCCAGATTTACACCCTAGAAATCAAAATAGTGCTGCACTATTAGAAGCACCATCTTTCAGATAAGACTTTAAATCACAGCCCTATCTGACCTCTGCTCAGTATCACATAGAGTGAGCCGAGGCAACTTCTCATTGACATCCATGACAATGGGAGGAGGCCAAGGTGCAATAGCAATGGATGTTTTGAGTTTGTTGATAAAGTTTGTCCATCCCATATCCCACCAGGTGTGGTTTCAGAATCGAAGAGCGAAGTGGAGGAAGCGGGAGAAATGCTGGGGCAGAAGCAGTGTGATGGCCGAGTATGGACTGTATGGTGCCATGGTCCGGCACTCCATTCCACTGCCTGAATCCATACTTAACTCTGGCAAAAATGGTTTGGTAGGATCTTGTGCCCCCTGGCTGCTTGGTAAGCAATTAAAGATTATTGAGGTCAATGAGACAGGAGGGGAGGGGGACACAAAACAGCACAACGTGGTGAAAATGAATTATCCACCTGTCTCACATGTTGGAGAAGAAAATGGAGCATGGTGTAAAAGCATACTGCTAATTTGCTACTGCCCATTTTGTCACATCACCCAAGACAAATTTCACCCCATTATCATTCTGATATCTTTTTAAATGCCGGCAAAAAGCTTACACATCCTGTTTGGACTCTGTACAAGCTCCCTACAATTGCCAATTGCTTAGTCCTTACTGAAGTTGAAAAGATTGAACAGGTTGGACCTATACCCACTGGAGTTTAGAAGAATGAGGCAATATTTTTGAAAGATAAGGAACACAAGAACAGGCTTGGCTATTCAGCCTGTCAAGCCTACTCCACCATCCAGTTAGATCATGGCAGTCATCTACCTCAATGCTACTTTCCTGCACCATCTCTATATCACTTGATGTAATTAGTCTCTGGAAATCGATTGAATTTTGTCTTGAACATCCTCAGTGATTGAGTTTCCACAGTTCTCTTCGAATTCCAAAGATTCATTGCCCACTGAATGAAGAAATTCCTCCTCACCTCAGTCTCAGTTGGTCTACCTCTTCTCGAGGGATTATTATCCCTAGATTTATACCCATTAGCAAGGGGAAAGATCTTATCTACAGTCATCCTGTAAAAGTGTTGTAAGTTTCAATGAGGTGACCTCTCTTTCTTAAAACTACTTTACGACTATGAAATTAGGAACAGAAGTAGCATGCGTGGCCAATCAAATTTGTATTGTCATTCAAAAAAATCATACCTGATGTGATAATCCTTAATAGAGCAGGCCAAGCAGCATCAGAGGAGCAGAAAGGCTGATGTTTCAGGCCTAGATCCTTCTTCAGACCCTTCTTCATTTTCTGAAGAAGGGTCTAGGCCCGAAACATCAACCATCCTGTTCCTCTGATGCTGCTTGGCCTGCTGTGTTCATCCAGCTCTACACCTTGTTATCTCAGATTCTCCAGCATCTGCAGTTCCTACTATCTCTGATAATCCTCAACTCCACTTTCCTGCCTTCAGCCCATGAACTTTCAATATCTTACTGAATAAAGTCTGAGCTTTTAATATTCTCAAGGACACAGCCTATACAGCCCTTTGTGGTAAAGAATTGCACAGATTCACTACCCTCTGAGAGAAGAAATTTCTTCTCATCCCTGTGTTAGAAGGCCGTCCACTTACTGTGACATTATGCACTTTAGTCCAAGACTCTCCCACAATGGGGGACAACTTCTCCACATCCATCCTGTCAAGCCCCCTAAGAATCTTATCTCTTTCAATAAAATAGCCTCTCATTCTTCTAAACTCCGATGAGTACAAGCCCAACCTATTCAACCTCTCCTCATAAGGAAATCCCTCCATTCCTCTGGTCAACCTAGTGACAATCTCTGGACTGCCTCCAATGTGAGCATTCCTTGATTAGATAAGGGGCCCAAAACTGTTCACAGTATTCCAGGTGTGATCTAACTAGTGTCCTGTATAGTTTTAGCAAGACGTTTCTACTTTTATACTTCATTACCTTTGAAATAAAGGCCAACAGTAAATTTCCCTTCCCTATTACTTGCTGAACTTGTACGCTATGATTCAATCACAAGAATGCCAAATCCTTCAGTGCTGCAGCTTTCTGTAGTCCTTCACCAATCTCTACTTCTCCCTACCTTTATAAGAAAAATAATATTCAGTTTATCTATTCTTCTTGTCAAAGTGCATAATCTCACATCTACCACATATTCCATCAGCCAAGTAGTTGTGCACTCACTTAACCTGTCTTAATCCCTCTGTAGTCTCTTTGTTTCATCCTCACCACTTGTCTTCCCATCTACTTTTGTGTTATCTGTAAACATGGCAATGGTATATATACTTTGTCACCCAAACAGCTTATGAATATTGTAAATAATTGTGGCCACATCCCTGTGGCACTCCAATATTTACAGATTGCCATTCTGAATATGTCCCCATTTCCTAACTCTGGCTTCTATTAATCATCCTATCCTCAATCCATGCTAATATACTGCTCACAACAGCAGGGCTCTTATTAAGAAGCGTTATAAGTGGGGCCTGATTGAAAATCTTTTGGAAATCCAAACATATTACAAGTACAGATTCCTCTTTATCTATCCTGCTTGTTACCTTCTCAAAGATTTCTGATACATTTGGCAGGCCTGACTTCCCTTTCACAAAATCATGTTGACTCTGCTTGATTATATTATGTACTTCTAAATGTTCTGTTATTGTTCATCCTTTATAATAAATTAACATTTTCTCAGTGACAGATATTAAGCTAACTTGCCTTTGGTTTTCTATGTTTTGTCTCCATTTGTTTTTGAATAAGAATGTTACATTGGCAGTTTTCTAATGCTCTGGATTTTTCCAGAATCTAAGGAATCTTGGAAGATTCTACCGGTGCTTCTATTATCTCTTTAGCTACTTACTTTAATATCCTAGGATGTAACACATCAAATCAAGGTGGCCTATCCCTTTCATGCCCCGAGTTCACCTTTTAATAGCTTTTCCCTGTTGACACTTATTGTATTTTTTTCTCCCTTTGCTTATGCCCGTTTCCATCTACTGTGTAGATTGATGCAAAGTTTTTATTCAACACCTTTATCATTTTGTGTTTGCCCCATTATTAATTCCCCAGTCTTCTTCTCTAAAGGACCTATGTTCACTTTGGCCTTTTTATACATTTAATGAAGCTCTTAATGTCTATTTTTATAGCACTTGATATTTTACCCTCAAAGTTTATTTTCTCCCTTATTTCTGGTTATGTTTTGTTGGCTTTTAAAACTTCTTCAATTCTCTGTCCTACCAATTATCTTTGCCACATTATGTGGTTTTACTTCCAATTTAAAACTATTCTTAACCCCTTTGATTAACTATGATTGGTTTATCCCCCTTCCTGAAATCCTTTTTCCTCACTAGGGTATTCCTTTGTTGTGAATTGTGAACTACTTGCATAAACATCTGTCATTGTCATAACTCATATTTTCTGTTAAACTCCTTTTCCTGCCCACTTTAACCAATTCTGCCCTCATTCCTTTGTAAATACCCTTACTTAAGTTTAGTGTAATTGTTTCCAATTCAGGTTTCTCATTCTCAAACTGAATGTTACATCTTACCATATTATGGTCACTGTTTCCTAGAAGATCTTTTACTCTGAAATTGTTTATTAAACTTGCCTCATTATGTATTAGTCTATATTTTGCTATTTTTCTATGTTTCTGCACTCTGTCATTTCCTGTTCCACTCTGGATATCTTTACCTAATTAGTTGCTATGCAACATTGTCATATCCATTTGCTTTGTCAGCCTCTCATGAACTGACCCCCATTTAGTTTAAAGCTCTCTTTATCCCTTTAGATATTCGATTGGCCAAGGCACTGGTCCTAGCAAGATTCAAGTGATGCCCACACCGTCGGAACAGCTACCTCTATCCCAATCCTAGTGTCAGAGCCCTAGTGACTGAACCCACTTCTCCCAGAGCAATCTTTGAACCATGCACTTAACTCCTTGACTTTATTTACCTTATGCCCGTTTGCTCAGGTAGCAATCCCAAGTTTGTTACCTTGAATGTTCTGCTTTTCAATTTAGCTCATAACTATTCAAATTCCTTCAGTAGAACCTCCTTTCATATCAATGCCATTGACACCAACATGGAGTGGACAACTACAACTTCTTCCCTCCCACTCCAAATTTCTCTCCAGCCTGAGATGTCTTTAACCCTAGCACCAGACATGCAACATAGTTTTTGGGACTTAAGCTCATAGCTACACAGAACAGTGTTTATCCCCCTAATTATACTGTTTCTTACCACAACTACTTTTCTATTTCCTCCCCCACCATGTTCCACAGTGCCATACTCACATTATCAGTCATCCTCCTTGCAGACCTGCTCTCTTCCACATAGTTTACAAGGATCTCATAATTGTTGGACAATTCCAGGGGACAAGCCTTCTCGAATTCCCCTTAATACATAACATCCTGCTGTCTCTGATCACAGATCAAATTTGAATAACATAATCTGAGGGGTGTGACTGCATCCTGGAATAAGTTATCTTGATAATTTTCTTTCTCCCTGATGTGCTGCAATGTCTGCAACTTGGACTCCAGTTCAAACTGGATCCGAAGTTCCTTGAGCTTCAAACGCTTAACACAGATGTGTTTGCTCTGGATCATCTAGGCGTCCGGCACCTCCCACATGCTGCTGCAGCAACATGCCACTCGTCCTGCCTCACTTGGAGAATGCCTGCTCTTTACAGTTTATTGTAATTTTTTTTGCACTAGTTACAATCTTATACATAACAAGCTATTTTCAAGAAAAAAGTGAAAGAAGCCCAGAGACCCAAACATACACTAAAGAACTTACTTTAACTTTAAAAACTAGAAATGTTCACCAATTCTGCTCACGAATCAGTTGCTTTCCCTGCACTCATGTCATGCTGTGATACACGATTTTACTCTACTGCTGGTGTTACTGCAGGTGCCTTTTATCCTCTCTCATTCACCTCTGGTTCAAAATATATTTTTTTGAGTCTTAGGAATAGGAAAAAACATTAATCACATGTTAGATACTCACCAATTAACTGACTTCTTCTCCTGTGGCACAGCAAGATTCAATTCCTGGAAGCTGAAAAAGTTTTGGCAAAAGCTACAGATCACTTTTTTCTCTTTCTCCGTTTAACTCCCTGAAGCGCCCAACTTTTGCATCCCATTTTAAGTCACTCTCCTCTTAAGGCAATTCTGCCATTCCAGGGATTAATTTGGTGAATCTATATTGCATCAGTCCCTCCATATCAAGGATATCCTTCGTTAGATAAAGCAACCAAAACTGTACTCAATGTGCCAAGTGAGGTCTCATCAAGGCTGTATACAACTGCAATAAGACATCTTTAAATCCCCTTGCAATTAGGGTCAACATACCATTTGGTTTCTCAATTGCTTCGTGCTAACATGTGACTCATAAACATGACACTCTGGTCCTTTTGGACTCCCACTGTTTCTAACCTCTCACCCTTTAAGAAATATTTTGTCTTTCTGTTTATTTTCTACAAAAGTGAATTACTTAACATTATATTTCATCTGCCAAGTTATAGCCCACTCACCTTAGCCTGTCAAAATCCTTTTGCACCCTCCTTGTATCTTCTTCACGATTGTGTTCCTGCCTGGTTCGGTGTTATCAGCTCTTTCTCTCTTCTTCCTCTCTTCCTGTACAGCTAAAGCATCCAAGCTGTATGTACATGGCTCTGACTGCATTTCACTGAGGAATCATCCCCTCAGAGGATCACCCAAAAAAAAACAATTAGCAAGCGGGACGTCAGAACCTGCCTGGTTCTCTTGGACTGCCTGGCAGTGATTCGTTCTCCTCTTGATGCCATGCTCCTGGCAAATGGTGTGACTAACTCTCTGAATGTGCTACCAATATAGCTGTCAGCCTTGTGGAAGCTCCACAGTGACTCTAGCTGCTGCTCTAGCTCCAAAAACCAGACATCAAAATTCTGCAGCTGGTGACACTTCCTATACATGTATCATCTCGGTCAGCAATAGTATACCTATTTTCCCACAGACTACAGGGCATGCATTTCCCATGATCAAGCTATCATGTCACACCCTAATTTTATTTCACTTACACTATATTTTACTTTGGTTTACTTATATTAACTTTACTTTACTTTACCTGACCTTCATAAACATTACAGCTATTGATAAACCTTACTAGTACTAATAAAACTGATTAATGCTTAACACACTTTACTAGTTGTAAAAACACTTATTTAAAGCATCTGTCTCTTTTGCATCACATTCTCAAGTGAGTTTAATTCACTACTAACTGGTCATCCAAGCATAGTCTTTTCAACATGCACCTCTTACTGACCCAGAAGGCAGTGAAGGCATGATTCGAGGCAGCATTAGAAGGAGTTTTGAATGACAAGGGAGTCAAGGGCAATGGGGTAAATAGGAAAGTGGAGTAAAGTCCACAACCAGAGCAATCATGATCTTATTGAATGGTGAAATAGGCTTGAAGGGCTGAAGGGATTAGTCTTACCCATAGAATCATACAGTACAGAAACAGACCCTTTGGCCCAACTTGTTCATGCCCAACAGGTTTCCTAAACTGAACCAGTCCCATTTGTCTGCATTTGGCCTATATCCCTCTAAACCTTTCCGATTCATATACCTGGCCAAATGTCTTTTAAATGTTGTAATTGTACTCACCTCTACCACTTCCTCTGGCAGTTCACTCTGTATGTGCACCACCCTCTGTGCGAAAAAGTTGCCCCTCAGGTCCCTTTTAAATCTTTCCCCTCTCACCTTAAACCTATGCCCTCTAGTTTTGGACTTCCCCACACCAGGGAAAAGACCTTTGCTATTCACCTTATCTATGCCCCTCATGATTTTATAAACCCCTATAAGGTCACCCTTTCAGCCTCTGATGCTTCTGAGAAAAGTTCTCAGCCTATCCAGCTTCTCCTTATAACTCAAACTCTCAAGTCTCGGTAACATCCTTGTAAATCTTTTTGCACCCTTTCCAGTTTAATAACATCCTTCACGCAGGCCAACCAGAATCGTACGCTGTACTCAAAATCTGGCCTTAACCTTTCTCTTGTACAGCCGTAACATGATGTCCCAACTCTGGTACTCAATGCTCTGACCAAGGAAGGCAAGTGTACCAAACTCTTTCTACGCCTTTTACCCGTGATGCCATTTTTGAGGAACTATGTGCCTGCACCCCACGTTTCTCAATTTGACAATGCTGGTCCTATGTTTCTTAGTTTATTGTCATTAATGCATGAAGGATGATAATTTCAGCGGACCCGTACCAGACCACCAACCCAGATAAACTATATTTATATTTGTATTTTATATTTAAAATTTGCATTGCGGTTTACATACTTAAGATTGTGCAATCCCATTTCTTTGTCCTGAACACTTGCAATTTGGTAAATAAGGAAGCTCCTGAATTATATTAATCAGTACAGTGATGAAACACAATTGCAAGCTTCTTATCATTGTGTACTAATTTTAAACATTTGTGGAAACTTAATATGATCATTAAGCTGTTACCTGTCAACTTCTTCTGTGTGGTTTTCAGGATTTAACTGAATATAGACTTGAAAATAAACATTTCCAGTGCTTTGGAGAAAGAGGAGGGGAATTGGAATAAGTGGATAGCATTTTTATAGAAAGCTTTTACAAAGGCCAAACACTATGTACTGCATAAATTCTACAGTCAGTAAGTAAGAGGCCTACTGTTTGAGTTGTTCTACTATCCACCAAAATTAATTAGAATAAAAAACAGAAATATGCAGGAAAAGAGAGTAAAATAAAGAACAAACAAGTTGGGCATCACTAACCAACCTTTAATTAAAATCTAGGAATGCATAAAAAATCTGTTGACTCAACACTGAAAACTAAAAGTGAAGCAACTGTAGGAGATGATTGTGTGGCGAGCAGTGCACGGGCATCACAGACTGAGGGTGGCACAGACCGGATGCCTGCAACAAACTGTGACACTACATCTGAAGATGACGACATGGCGTTAGACCTTTCCAGCACAGAAAAACCACTGACCAAGGACAATGGTTCAAAACAATGCATTTCAGGGTGGTCCAATGTGGAAGTCAGACACAGAAGACTGAAGAAAAATTAAAATAATCAGAAAGCTGTTGTGTGAACAAATGAGGTTCAGGATGGGGAACAGTCTTCCTATTGAGAAGCTGCACTCATCCCATTTTAAAACTGGTTCCTACGGCAACGAAGATGCATGGATGGCCACAACAAAAGAGGATGATTACTAATTTACCTCCCTTATTGAGCTGCTATTAGTTTGTTGGTTATTAAAATAATGACCAACAAATAGCATCATAGTTTGTTCCTAATAAATGTAAGAAGTAAAGCAGGGTATTCCAATGGAAATGTACACAGGATTGAAAATATCATGGCTAAACCTCCTCTTACTGATAACTTTACCCCCTGTGAATGGAAAGGGGTGATCCCAGTCCATATGGAAATACATGACTTTCAACATGGAAAATGTAATGTGAATGGTAACTGGCAGCTGCAAATTCACAGTAAACTCAAATGAAAAATTATACATATTAAAAGAGTAATAGCCTAGGCTCCACAAAGAGGACACACACGAGTGCATGAGTGAATTGTCCATTACAATGGTAAGAGGTGTAGCCAGTTACCTATGTAAAAAAGGTCTCAATCTCTGATGGATAGGAGCAATAATGAAGTAAAGTTAAACTCAAGTCCTTCCTCAGGAAGACAGCATCACCTTAAGTTTATCTTGGGTATCTCCATGCTGTTGAGCTAGGAGTTGTGATAGCAGAATACTGAAAGCATGTTATCTCTCTATTGACTTTGTTGGAGAATGGCTTCTGGAGAAAGAAAGGGTAGGAGAAAGAGAAAAGATTGCAAAAGAAAAGGCATTGGAAAAAGAATTCCTTTAATTGTGTTACAATAAGGGTAAAAAGTAGAGTGAATTTTCAACTCAAATGTAACAGGCACAGTGTGCTGTGTATAGTCTGTGGTGTATTACCAGGAAAGCAATAGTAGACTGGTATGTGTTACACCAAATGGAGTGCACAGGCTATGATATGTTTAGCAGAGGGTATCATATGGGCTGGGGCATAGAGTTGAGAATTGTATACAAATGGTAGTACGTACGTTGGGCTGTGTCAGACAGAAGTTAATGCACAGTATATTGTGTGTCATGCAAAGAAAATTATATGGCTGGAGTGAGTTATGAAATTGTATTGCATGGGAGCAGGGATGATTGTAGAGGGCAATGCACAGATGCTGGAGTGTATTAGATCATGGGTAATGCATTTAAAGATGTTTTAGATTATTAAATGATTTGAAAGAGGATTTGGAGAGAAACCATTTCCTCCGTGGGAGAGTTCAGAACATATGGCATATCCTTAAAATCAGTGTTAGGCCATCTTAATGTCAGAAAGCACTTTCAACAATGGGTAATGAAAATCTGGAGCTTTTTCCCTCAAAAAGCTGTTGGGATCAGCTAATTACAGAATTCAAAACTGACCGAAATAGATTTTTGTTAGGCAGAAATATTGAGAGTTACACATAAAAGGTGAATAGATAGTATTTAAGATACAGATCAGCCATGGTTTAACTGAATGGTCAATCAGGTTTGAAAGTTGTACCTATGTAATATATGGATTCTTTAATGTGTTATTCAATGGATAATACATGGCTGATGTAATACAGTATGCAGCAGTTATAAATGACTGGTTTGTGTTATGCAGTGGGAAATACAAGAGTGCTGGGGTGTAATACAATTTCTGGGTTTTGACACCTCACAAAGAATAAACAAGATTTTGAATACATTTAAACCAGGATTATTTTACAGCCTTGTAGCATACTTCCAACCAGTCAGTAGTTTAAATATGCTGAATAAGATTCAATTTACTTCAGTTGTAGAGACAGCTCAAAACCATATCCAATCCTAAAATCTTTTGCAGCAATTCCTGTTTCAAACATCAATACCATTAGTCCAATTTGCAAACTAACCTACAAGCAACTAACCTAAAAAGTGTTGAAAATTACATATTGCTATGTCTCTTTAAAGATTTTTTTATACAATTATAAATGACTTTTAGATTTGGTTATGTGTTGAATACTTGTGTGGTACTCAAGACTTGATAAATTCAATCTATTTTAATAATTTTGCTACTTTGTCTTTGTTTTGACAAAAAATGGATATCCACATTATTGTATGTCATTCCTATAAGTGGCGTCCTACTAAAGTTTTGCTGAAAGTCATAATCCTAAAGATTGTTCTGCCCACTGAGGCATTTTCAAGAAGTGGAGAGATGGATGGACAATAAACAGGTTTGATTGAGACCTCTATCACATGGTCAGCTTCTGACTTTCCCAGGATATCCCATTGGTCACAGTATTTCTTTTAATGAATTCTGAAGATGTAGGGGAACATTGACAAGGCCTGCATTTATTATCCATCACTACTTGTCCTTTAGAAGATGGTGGAGCATCTCCTTTTTGAACCATTATAATCTCTGTGATGAAGCACTAACAGCACCAACTGTGCTGATGACAAAGCATTCAAGGATTTTGAAACAGTGGCAACGAGGAATGACACATTATGTCCAAGTACAGAAGGTATATTTGGCAACATCTGTGGAGAGAGACACACAGTTAATGTTTTAAGTCCAATATGACTTCTTCAGACCTGAGAGTAGTTGTGGTGAAGCATGTAAAATAAATGGAGAACAGTCATGTGCAGTCAGGCTCCAAAGTTGTGGAATTCAATATTGAGAACTAGAGGGTGTAAAGTGCCTAAGCAGAAAATGAGGTCTTGCTCCTCGAACTTGAGTTGTGCTTCGATGGAAAATTGCAGCAGGCCCAAGACTAAATGTTAGCATGACAGCAAGGGGATTTTATTCAAATAGCAAGCAGCTGGAAGTTCAGGGTCATTCTTAAGGTTGGATCGGATGCATGTCTGCAAGGATTCCAATCCTTTCTCCCAGTTTCTCTGTCTGCATCGCGTCAGTTCTGATGATGCTACCTTCCACCAGACTGCCTCCAACATATCCTCCTTTATCATCAACAAACTTCCCACCATTGTAGTTGACATGGCCCTCAGCCACGCCTGACCCATTTCTCTCATGTCTGCTCTGACCCATCCCCTCCTTCCCAGATAGGGTTCCCCTTGTCCTCATTTCCCACTCCACTAATCTCCATATTCAAAGGATCATCCTCCCCTATTTTTGCCACTTCTAACAGAATGCTATCACCAAACACATCTTCCCCTCCCCCCCATTATTAGTATTCTCCAGGAACCTTTCACACCCTGGTCAATTCCTCCATCACACCTAACACTTTCTCACTCCTACACAGCATCACTACATGCAATTGCAGAAGGTGTAACACTTGCCCATTCACCTCCTCCCTTCTCAGTGTCCAAGGCCCACAAACACACCATCAGAGTGAAGCTGTGTTTTACTTGTACATAGTTTAAACTAGTCCACTGTATTCGCTGCTCACAATGCAGTCGCCTTTACATTGGTGAGATCAAATTCAGACTGGGCGACTGCTTCATGGTAACCTCCGCTCTTTCAGTTCTGAAGAAGAGTCATATCGGACTTGAAACATTAACTCTGTTTCTCTCTCCATAGATGCAACCACACCTGGTGAGTTTCTCCAGCATTATCTGTATCTGTTTCAAATTTCCAGCATTGACAATATGTTACTTTCATCAGGAAAGCGTATAACTTGTGAGAAAGGATGGAGATGACTGTGTTTCTATACACTGATTGCCCTGTTTGATGGTGAATTTCACAGGCGTGGGAAACATTATTGAAGAAGCCTTGACAGTTTGCCACAGTGCATCCTGGCCAGTCTAAGATGTGGAAAGAAGTGTTAATATCATTACATCAATAGCCCAGTTTTAAGTGGTCCACTGCATCCAATGACTGATAGCGGCAGCTACCAGTCTTTGGACAGGTGAAACATTCACCATACAAAAATGTGGCAATATGCCTATCTTTGCAAAAGAGCGCTCTGTCACCTTGAGAAGAAAAAGGATAAAAATTCACAAGCAAATGCAAACTTTTGTAAATTTATTGTGTTTTTAAATAGGGTACAGGTAGCCATTGATAATCTCATAAATTTAAGTGAAAAGGTTGAATAATCTTTCAGAATTATCCTGGAGTTACCAGGAATTGAAGATTAATCTTCTCAATATGGCTCCACCAAGGAGAAATAACATAGTGTCATTCAAATAAAGGGAATTTTCCTTTGAAGAGTATGCTTCAGTTATAAATATATTGGAGGGAGGCCAGAGGCTACCAATTCTGTAGCAATTATGTCATCATTTGACTCCCCAAAGCCTGTTCATCCACCACATGGTACACGCCAGGAGTCTGATGAAATAGTCTCCATTTACTGGATGAATATAGCTCCAATAACTTTCAAGAACATCATCATCATCCAGGACAAAGCAATCCACTTGATTTGCCCCTGATCCGCCACTTTAAGCATTCACTCTCCCCACCATCAGTGTGTACCATCTCAAGTTGCACTGCCGCAACTCACCAGATTTTCTTTGGTAGCAACTTCTAAAGCCACAACCCCTACCACGTAGAAGGATAGGGGCAGCTGATGAATGGAAACTTCACTACCAATAAGTTCCCTTCCAAGTCACTCTCCATCCTGACTTGAAACCACATCACTGTTCCTTCACTTCTGATAGATCAAAATTCTAGAATGCCTTCCCTGTAAGTATAGCTACAGTATATGGGCTGCAGGAGGTCGAGACAACAGCTTCTCAAAGCCAATTACAGATGGACAACAAACTCTGGTCTTGCCAATGCCTATCATATTGTATAAACAAATGAAGAAAAAAAGACTGAAACAAAAACAGAAATTGCTGGAAAAACTCAGCAGGTCTGGCATCTGTGGAGAGAAATCAGAGTTAATGTTTCTGGTTGAGTGACTCTTCCTCAGAAGTTCTGCCAGACCTGCTGAGCTTTTCTAGCAATTTCTGTTTTTGTTTCTGATCTGCAGCGTCTACGGTTTTTAAAGAAAAAAGACTGTTTTACTGACAGTCAAAAATTATTCAAATAGGTAGTGAAAACATTGTTCACTTTCTAATTGGTCTGGAGA